TTTTTCCCCCCTTTTCTTGAAAATGCAAGCACAAGTTTAGGAAGGGGACACGGCTATTACTTGGTGCTGTACAGTCATAGAAAAATAATAAAAAACACACACGAAAACTGCTATCCCTTTTACATTTACATACAATATATCCAACAAAAATTTCTTCTCCCACTAACCAGTAAACAATAGATATGATGTACATACGGCTGTTTTGCTTGACACTCTATCTACAGTGTCTAGCGTAATGCTTGGGACATAGTAATTCTTAATAATTACTAAATTTAATATTGAATGTTAATTAGATATATACAGCAATGCTCTGTGGCCTCTCTTTTTCAGTTCTAACATTGTTCCTACTTGCTATTGGTCATTTTTATACCCAACCTAAAACATTTTGGTCAGTGTACCTTTCTACTCAAAAGAACAGAATTGAGATTTAAGAAATCAGCAGATTATATAGTTCCAGCACTACTATTAATCAATTCTGTGACCTTATATACTAATCATTCTATTTCTTTACTGAAGGATTTTGGTCTTTAATGTTTCTAAAAATCCTTTCCAAGGTCTATAATTCTACAGCAAACCACCAAGTTCTGTGGCATCTATACGTTCCTTAAGTCATGAAACTACCTTTGATACCAGGAATAAGAACTGTTAAGAAAGTTATTTTTTTACATTACTGTCATTATACCTAGAATTACAAAACAAAGATTTTAATATAAATGTTAAGGGAGGGGAAGAGATGACTCTTCTCTGCATCTAATGTTTCTTTACGTATGGAGGAGGTACCACTAGCATTACTGTGCACTAGCATTACTAGTGCCTCGTTTCTCCTGGGGAAATTATGTGACTTATCTGATTATGAGTATGAAAGGAGAAACTAGAAATGAGTAGCTCAGCACCTTCCACTTTTTCTGATAGCTTGCTTGCCCACAGAGAACATGTATTTGTTCTTTCCCTCTGTACCATGAGTTTCATTAGAAGAGGTCCCCCCACCCAGTCACCCTCATACAACCCAATGATATGAAGAACACTATTGTTTTTTAAACCAACCACAATGATTCAATTTTGTGTCTAATGTTACTAAATTTAGTAAGGTGCCATTTGTGTGTGTGTGCACATATGCATGCATGCAAAGTTTTCATGGGATCACTTTATATACCATGCTGTTTTTGAAAAACCAGAAAAGGAATTGATGAAAAGCCAAATAATGATCTAGGAAAAACTGCTGTCCCATGTATTTACATATGATACACCCAGTTGGTAAAACTGAAAACTCTGTGGCTTCTCTTTCATTTAGGTTCAAATTTTATTGTACATACATTCTGTAAATGCAGGAGGGGTTGAAGACGTTATTCTGTGCAATGATAACAGGATAGAGTCTCAAATTCTGAAGATATTTCTTTAAAGGTGGTCCTAATTTCAAGAAATGTCTTAAACTGGAAAATAATTTTTTTGTAATTCCTTCTTCTAAAGCAAAAAGCTGTCCAAAAGATATACATTACTATATTGCTTGATTCCTCTAAGTTTCTATTTCAAAAGAGGTAAATTTTGTCAATTAAAAATATCTGTTTAATAAGTACCAATTGATCCCAGGACTTACTACTGTTCTGTTGCCAAACATTTATTTTCATCTACATAATTCCACTTAGTAAATTATAAAGAAGCCTCAGTGAATGCTTAGGCTTATTTTTAGGTTATGGTTATATCATTTATAATTTTATTATAA